CGAAATCCACGAGGCCGATGCCCCTTCTAACAACCAGAGCAACAATTTTTATAGGTACATGGAACGTCCGGACAATATGGGAGACCGGGAAGACCAATCAAATAGCAACGGAAATGAGGAGATACAAATTGCCAGCACTGTGAATCAGCAAAGCCCATTGGACCCAAGCTGGACAGATAAGGCTAGCTACGGAGAGTTGATGCTATACTCCGGTCACGAAGAGGAAAATGCTCCACACTCAGGGAGTTGCTCTAATGCTGTCCGGGGTAGCACGGAATGCACTAGTAGGGTGGGAATCTCACGGGTCCAGGATCATCAAAGCATAATTCAAATCAGAGAAGGAGGAAATCACAACGAATGTTATAAAATGTTATGCACCCACCAGTGATAGCAACGACGACATTAATGATCAATTCTACGAGCGGCTGCAGTCAATCATAGAGAAGTGCCCAAGAAAGGACCTCACCATTTTGATGGGAGATCTAAATGCCAATGTTGGAATAGACAAAACCGGATATGAATATATCATGGGACGACATGGACTGAGGGAGAGAATCGAAAATGGGGAAGGATTTGCAAAACTGTGTGCATTCAACAATTTGGTCTTAGGAGGCACATTATTTCCACACAAACGTATACATAAGTCTAAATGGATCTCACCGGACCACACCTTAGAGATCCAGATAGATCATATCTGCATCATAAAAAATTCCGGAGGACAATGGAAGATGTGAGAACTAGGAGAGGAGCTGAATTAACTTCAGATCACCACCTAGTTGTGGCCAATTTAAAGCTGAAGCTAAAGAAAACTGGACAAACAACACTACAAAGGCTCAATACTGCCTTCCTTCGAGAGACTAACAAATCAAACGAATTCATGATAGCTCTCAACAACAGGTTCCAAGCCGTACAGGATCTACTGAAGAAGAAGAATCTACTATGTAGGACAACTGTAAAGGTATCAAAGAAGCATTAACTTCAACGTGTCAAGAGGTTTTGGGTCTAAAGAAGCACCATCATATGGTATAGATCTCTATAGAATCACTGGACATGATCAATGAAAGGAGTTAGAAGAGAACAGCAACTAACAACAGCCGAACACGAGCAGAGAAAGTCCAAGCTCAAGCTGAGGACAGAGAAGCACACAAACTAGTGAAGAAGAGCATTAGAGCCGACAAGAAGAAATACGTGAAAAGACTGCAAGGGAAGGAAATATGAAATAGTTCTATGATACAACGAAGAAACTAGCAGAGAAATACAGTAATCCAGAGAGACCGGTCAATGACAATGAAGGCAGGCCAATCACTGAAATTCAACAACAGCGGAACAGAGGAGTAGAATGCTGCGAGGAACTCCTGAATAGGCCGGCTCCAATGAATTCACCATACATCGAAGCAGCGCACATAGATGTTAATCCATCAACGACGGAAGAAATCAGAATGGGCATCAGACAATTCAAGAGCGTGAATGCAGCAGTACTCGACAACATACCAGCTGAATCACTGATGTCAGACACCGAATTAACGTAAACATGCTTCACCTTCTATTCAAAAAGATTTGGGAGGAACAAGTGCCGATGGACTGGAAAGAAGGACACCTCGTCAAGATTCCAAAGAAAGGAGATCTGAGCAAATGTGAAGACTACAGAGTCATCACACTACTGTCAATACCAGGGAAGGTCTTCAACAGAGTGTTGCTCAACCGGATGGAGGATGCAGTAGACGCCAACTTCGAGATCAACAAGCTGGATTCCGTAAGGATCGGTCGTGCATGGACCAAATTGCGACACTACGGATCATCGTCGAACAATCAATGGAATGGAAATCGTCACTGTACATCAACTTCATCGATTATGAAAAGGCATTGGATAGTGTAGACAGGAGGCCGTTATGGAAACTTCTTAGACACTATGGAGTTCCCGAGAAGATTGTCAACATTATCCGGAACTCATATGATGTACTTCAGTGCAAGGTCGTGCATGGAGGACAGCTGACAGACGCATTCCAAGTAAGAACCGAAGTCAGACAAAGCTATTTACTCTCTCCCGTCCTCTGTCTTCTGATGGTCGACTGGATTATGAAGACCTCGACATCGGAGGGAAACGCGAATACAGTGGACAGCTCAGAATCAATTAGACGACTTGGACTTGGCAGATGACCTAGCCCTCCTATCGCATACACATGAACAAATGCAGATAAGACAGCCAGTGTAGCAGCAGTCTCTGCATCAGTAGGCCTCAGCATACACAAGGGGAAAACCAAGGTCCTCAAACACAACACGGAAAACAGCAATCTAATCACTCTTGATGGCGAAACTCTGGAAGATGTAGAATCCTTCACATACCTGGGAAGCATAATCGATGAACAAGTAGGTTCAGATACAGACGTAAAGGCGAGGATTTGCAAAGCAAGGACAGCATTCCTACAGTTGAAGAACATAAGGAACTCAAATCAACCTCCAACCAATATCAAAGTGAGAATTTTCAATACGAATGTCAAGGCAGTTCTACTGTACGGAGCTGAAACTTGGAGAACTACTACAACCATCATCAAGAAGGTGCAAGTATTTATAATAGCTGTCTACGCAAGATACTCATCATCGATTGGCCGGATTCCATCACAAACAGCCTTCTCTAGTAGAGAACAAACCAGCTTCCAGCTGAAGCGGAAATTAGGAAAAGACGATGGAAATGGATAGGACATACACTACGCAAATCACCAAACTGCATCACGAGGCAAGCCCTGACTTGGAATCCTGAAGGAAGGCGGAAAAGAGGAAGGCCAAAGAACACATTACGTCGGGAAATAAAAGCAGATATGGAAAGGGTGAAGACAACTGGAAGGAGCTGGAAACGATTGCCCAGGACAGGGTTGGATGGCGAATGCTGGTGAGCGGCCTACGTTCCTTCACGAGGAGTAACAGGTGTAAGTAAGTAAGTATTATGATTTACTAAAATATATTGCCTTGCACATAACAAACAAAAGGCTTCATGACAATAATAAGTGAAAACATCTATGCACAAATATTAATGTATAATGCGGAATTTCCATTCAGTCAATATATGGGTATAAAAATGTGACTTTATTGTGCATTCATGATAACTATTACTAATCATTCTGTCTTCATTCAATGCTATATTTTAGATGAGAGAAAAGAGACTTTATGAACAGACATTCCAGAAAGTAGTCTAAGCAACAACTCAAGAAACAAGTAATTGAGTATTTCTAATTTCTTTTAACATGAATAGTGAAGTAAATCAAGGAAGAGTTAAATGTGCCGTATATACACAGTTAAATAATAATTTAAACAGTTATATAATAATAAATCGACATTAAATGAAGATTGATCATTGGACAAAATAAATTAATTTTACGGCATATTAAAAACAACATAAAACCGATAGTCATACTAACAAAATTATTTAAATTAACTTTGTCATAATCTACTGTATTAACACTCAAATAAACAAATCGTTTTGAATTGTATATTGGCACAGGACCATATTGAACTTAGTAATATGGAATATATATACTTTGTTAGAATGTATGTATGATGAATATATATATATATATGTCTCAAGTACAGTAGTATATTTAAACAGGTTGCCAGAATATCATCATGTAAATCGACGAAAGATTTATAAGAATAACTAGTATGTTATGTAATAAAAACTTTTACGTACCAATAATTATTTTACTAATTTTACTAAAATCTCAATTAATCTAGCCCATCATGTATCCATATTTTATATAAATTCACTTGGTATTTTTGCTTGTATCTTCCCATTGAGGTTAAGACTGTAATTGATCAGTCTGTTATTGGTATATGTGCATACTGTGCGTATGCCTCGATATTGCCTTAATTCACATGCTTGGATAGTGGTTAGCAGTACCTGGATTCCACTGCTAGCCACTATCCATCTTTAGTTTATATAGATGTTTGTTATGTAACTATTAATTTGATTTCATATCATCAGGAAATAGCAAACGTGGAGAAAAAATTTTTTTCATTGTTGAGTAGTTTTGACTTCATTTTCAACAAAATACGTGTGTTTTGAACAAGTTGAATTTGATATTTACAGATTGTGTGTACGAAGTAACTATGAATAGGAGAATGGTTGGTCAATCGAGCTTCAAGGGGGATATGATTTTTATCAGTTAAACAACGTGCCACGTGCATACAATCACTGCCATAGAAGTCCTACTCACTACCTCCTACTGGCGGAGGCGTTGTTTACGAAATTCAAAAGACGAAAAGCAAATGTGCGGCACCTTAACCGAGTTGGTGGACACGGAGAGTCCGCCTAGGGTAACTGAAAATCCCTGATCCAAAACCAATGGTGTACATGGGCTCCAGTATCCTGAAGGAACAAATGACGTATGAACTAATCATTGGCCACCGGCTACCATGGGACCGCACCACCTGACGTTGCTCTACTGCCTTGTAGGTCAGACCTTTAGGTCAAAGGCTCCGAGTGTGGCCCCTTAAAAAAACAACTTGCTTCGGTTCGAGCACCCGGTTAGTATCCCAGCCCTCACACAAATCGAATGATTTGTGACGCATATCTACTTGGTGCCCCCTTGTACTAATGTTTATGTTTTTTAATAATAGTGATAATAATAATAATAATAATATAGATTAATTATTATTAACTTAACGTGTTTTTGATCAATAAATGTAGGAAATACATAAGTGAATGGATTGCAAAACTTTATATCGTTACACAGATGAATGAATCTTAATTTTCTTAGACAATACCTACTGAATCATTGTAACTCTTGTTTATGTGATCAAATCAACAAATTGGTTTGCCAACTAGCAGATAAGTTCAAGTTGGTATCAACTGCAAAACGACCTCAGATGAATGCAATAAACAGCATTAAATACTACAACAAGTGTACATCAGAAACATCAATTGTAAAACATTGACATTCTAGTTCACATAAATCTCTTACCATCATCGGATCTAAGCTTTCTAATGTTGGTGTAAGGTTTTTATCCTAACCTATTGCAACATAATTTACCTAGAAAATAAATACAAGAGAATTGAATGTAGTTTGGATAAATGGGTGAAGTTGAATGAATAGTCAGACCTTCCTGTTGAGAGGAGGGTTTAGCATCATATGAAACACTTCGGATACTCGTTCCTCTTTATATTCGGAACGGGTGTTCTGGATTATTTCGATATATTTATATCAATTTGGTGGTCACTAAATCTAGTATCTACTGTTATTGCCGGTTTAATTTGTAGATCTTCCTATCCTGTAAGACTATTAGGTCACTGACATAATCAAAACTATTTTGATTTTGATTGAACCAAATATTCTAGCTTGTTCTTTTTTACTATTTAGACTTATGTTAATTCGGTTGTTTATTCATTGTCTGAAGAAGCAACCTCAGCTACGTTGCGAAACATCAGAAATTAAAATCTCTGATCATTGGGATAATCAAAATAAATAATTATTCTATTATCAGCATTCTAGTCTGCTCAATTTATTCAAAACTATCATGTCAAACCTTAGTATTGTTACCTATGATTTCAACCCTGAGTTGCACAAGCTATGTGATCTACCTCAGGGACTTATGATGAAGGGACAGAAGATGGTCCTATACAACATTTTTCCACACCAAGGAGCCATGTTATAAATTAATTACCTGTCCGCTTTTCCAGCTTAGTCCCAATTGATGCACGCTGTGAAAGATTGTGACATGACAAAATTAATCATTTTCAAGTAACAGAAACTGGTTTTTACAAGGGGTGACACTGAATAAGTTGTCGTCACTGCTCCCGAAAATATATTGCTGAACCTCAGTAATGCTAACATGATGTTGCCACTGGATTTCAAAAATCCTCAAGAGACGAAGATGGTCGGGCAGAGTTGCCGAGGCTTCCTAGCTTGGGGAAGGGGAGGTTTCATGATAGTAGGGCAGAATTGTTTTCACGGATGCATTTTTAACCCAACCTTTTATAGACGGACTAGCATTATGATGTCTCCAAAGATGGCCTTCACTAAACGCAGGTTGACTTGATCTAACACGCCAACGCCAGTACTCACACAACTACCTGGATATACGAACTTTTCTATTACAATAACGGACAACCACAAAATGTGGGTATATGGACCTTCGACCAGTCTTGCAGAAATATTTTACACCTAGCTGGTGCAGAGTAAATCCTATAATTACGGACAACTAATTAAGTGGCACTCAGATAGCTTGTGTCATATCGTATATTAGGACAATCCCGTCCGCACATTCAAGGTTGAAGAGTCCTCACCAAAGTAACAAATGGATCCACCCCACCACCATGTGCTTCCTCCAGACCCATTTCTAAAATATTATTGAAGGCTTAAAGGTCGGTTTTGATATCTCTGACTGTGGCACTAGGTGACACAAATTTAGATTCCAGGGGAACATCAGTCTCATCAAAATTGTTCATATGTGTTGTTGATGAGTGGGAACTAGCATGTAAATTAGTTGATACATTACCTCTTGATGATTACCTTTAATCATTTGATATCAAGACCAAAATAAAACCGTAACCAACAGTAATGGGAAACGACTTATTTTGTGACTTTAACTTGAGTCGATTTCTACCCTGTGCCAATTGTTGCGTCCTTGACTGAAAGATTAGAGAGCAGTGTATTATCGACCGGACCAGGACACGTAAAACACGTACGAACGACCTAGTGTTCCCTGTCTAGCCCAGCCAGTTGAGTCCAGAACGCAAGTCTTAGCCTCTGAGATATGAATTATTGTATTTCAGACATACTCCATTTATATACCAACCAAACAGACCACATCGTACCATAAAAATAGAAAACAACATTTGTACAATATTTAACTAATGAAATAAATAATGGCCAATAGGAAATGTCCATTTATCGTCCAAGGACATCCTTAGACTTTACATGATAATGATTGGCACATTATTCTGCATCCATAACAACTTACATTGAAATGATCCAAAAGATTGGGAGGTATTACATACGGTGCATCAATAATTACATTGCTCACGTACTGTTCATAATGAGAATAAAACAACATTCACATAGTTATTAATTAGAGAGTATTACTGATAACTAAACTAACCAAAGTGCATTAATTTAAAAATTTTCACCAAAAAGAAACTAATGAACGAACAACAATTGGTATCATGATAAAATTATTTAGACTACTGCACGTGACGCCATATTGTATTGCCTTCACTGTTATAAATTTATGGAAACTTAGATTTGAGGCTTATTAACAGAGATGGGATAGTGGTTTTAATTACTGATTCTCAATTGTTCGAACTCCATTTTTATTCGGTTTTGGGAGTATGAGGATGAACGTAATATCACTAACCCCTATATGAAAAGAATGGCTCAAAATCAAGTGTGTAAAATTGTACATTGAAAATGAGTTTTTAAAAATTTCTACTTCATTGTTACTTGATTGCTGAACGTTTTCTTTATAAAACAAATGTCACATTCACAATTTTTAATTTCTTTCAATAATCCAGCCATAAAATAATATTTAATTGATTTTAATCCGGAAAAGTAATAATTAATGATGTAATCATGACAGAATACTTTGTAAATCGATTAAAAAAGGATTATTTTATTAGAAGTTTAAATCAATTTTTTTTTAACTTTATTCTTTTATATTAGAAGAGTAGTTATGTTAATCCATCAAGTTCATCACCTCTTATGGTGATAGATCTGATAGACATGAGCAGTTATAAAAATTTTCATTTTGAGGTAACACTGTAAATCGAATTTCCCAAACCATCCGCCTAGTTCAAGAAACTTGATAATATATAATAATAATAATAATAATAATAATAAATAAGAATAATAAATAAATGGTATTCACAAAGTTGCTTTTAAGGAAATTTTGTACAAGTTGAAGATAATTCTTGTTAGTGCTGGATAGTTGTATTGTCCTCATCTACAACTCCATATAAGTGCCCATACCCGACCCTAAACAGAATAGATCAAATCTGGAACTGCAACATGAACATATCAAGCACATTGATGAATTTGAAGGTTTATGATTAGAGTCCGAATGGGGTTATATCGATGCTTACTGAAAATTTCATAACTAGGACGAAATTTTCGTCCATGGAGCCCTGATTCTCAACACTTTGGCAACTGATTTCAGTTCGCACCAAAAACAAAAACACGTAGTTCTAACTAACAGTTGTCTGACTATTTGTGGTATGAGGCACAAACACAGTACATTTTAATTCATAGCAATTTGTGTGAGGACGACCTTTAATGTGTGAGATGACATTAAATGATAGTTATTTGTCCTGTTTAATGGTGTAAAGTAAAAACATTGGTAGAATAGAGTTCCGAAAGCCCAACCGTAAACCTACGACTGTATATGCACTTAGGAAGAGAGAAGAGTTGTGCAGGTCAATTCATAGATGTTCTAATTAATATACCAGTTTATGGGGTGGACTGTTTCTAAATAGAATGCTCACTCCAGTGAAGTTATAAATTAATTATCTAGTCAATGGTATGTAGTATATGGGTCAATCAATAATTACAAGTGTGATATAATTAAACAATCGGGTATAAAGTTATACCGGTACACAATCGATGGAAGTTTGAGTGACGACTTAAGTAAACATTTTACATTTGAGTCTATTTTTACGAAATTTTACGCTCTAAATCAATATCCTTGGATTATATAAAAATAACAAGTTTGCTCCTTATGCAGTAGAAAACGTAACAAACTGTTAATCACTAGATAAAGCTGGATGATATAAACGCTTATGGTTACATTAGGACTGTGTATTGAGACTTGGTATGCATTGCAGTCTCATTTGTTTCCTGAATTGGTGCTACACTACCAAATTAATATACTGAAAACATGTTAAACTTTTATACAAACCAATTATTTCTCAGTATTTAAGAAAAAGGACAATCAATTTTAAATTGACCAAAATATTCTCAGAATTCATTTCGAAATCCTGTATTTCAACTGCAGTTTTAATTTCTATTACTTCTCTTCAGTCATTCCAATGTTAAAGTATCCCCGTGATTTATTTGAGATAGATTTGAAGTACTTTTGAAATTTCTATACATTAATTCTCGTAAGTAACAACACTCTTTTCTTCGATTCAGTTAAAATGGAGATTACAGTGATGATCAGTTAGTAAATTGGATATACTTGAGAAAAAAAGACATAGCTTACTCGACAGGCCAGTACAGATAACAGTCGTTCTTGAAGTGTGCGAATGGAGCCCATTCGACCACTTTCAAATGATGACGTCTGCAAAAGTAATACAATAACGAACCAATATATTGATGAAAGTCAATATTCAGTCAGAAATAAGATGAGCAACCACTCTCATGTAGGAACTCGGTTTATTATGAATCATGCTAATTTTTATGCATCGTACCATCTTGATAGTGGCGTAAATGCGAAAATTGGTGATGGTAGTGATGATGATAATAATACTTAATAATTACATAATAATAATAATAATGTGGTTACGCAAGACTTTGATCTCCTTGAAGCATGTAAAATGATTCTAAAATTAATGATTCGTGAGTTTGGACAATTATTTTATGAGAAAACATAGAGACTTCAATTTCTGAAATAATTTTGGATGTCTCATAACTAATTATTAGTACTTTAAAGCATATTAAAGTTTAAGCCTAGTATTCGTATTAGTTTCTTCGTCTTAAAGTTAGCACAATTATTTCGTCTAAAAGATCATTTTCTTCGGTGCATCCTATTTAATTTTGTTCACTGACACAATGAGTTATTTTAACCTCTTTTCATTTATTAGAATTTCCGGTCCCTCTCGAAGTAAACATTTTAAACCTTCGTTTCAAAAGACACTACACTTTGTGATGCCGGACTGTGTTGGAGCTAACAGGAAAAATAGTGTATAGAGTACATCTAATTTTTCCTGCAAATTTTGTTGTTCTTGGTTTACTTAGTGTTACTTTCATTAAAAATAGAGTTTATAATAAAAAACGAATGGACTAATTATGATCGATCACTTCAAATGTATACGTCACTTCTAAACATTGAAAATGATCAAAATAATATCAGTGGTAAGTTTATCCAGTGAAAATACCAATTATGTTAGCATTTAAAAAGTATGCTGACCCAATTAAAGGTATGGTGAGATTGGTGATATGGTGAGTAGACTTGAAGCATTTTAAGCCTTTGTATGACCTTCATTTTCATGCTCCATTAATTATTTATTATCTATTAATTTGTTTTGGTTAAGCATTTGAGATATCAATGGACATCTCATTACCTTAAAATATTTAAACAGTCAGTTGCTTGGTAGCTTTAATCACACTTAGTTGAGATTCGAAGATTGGTTTCACAAGAAAATTACTCGGTTGACAAGCGAAATTGATTATATGATAATTTTGTGTTTAAAGAATTAATGATGATTATCAGAAAGCTCTAGAGATGGTTTTGGTATCTTTTGATATTGTAGTAAACAAAGACTTGGTGGAGAAACCCAATTCATTAATTATTGCGAAATTACAGTGTCTTCTTAAAGTACGGAAATCAGACATTAATTATATTATTGTACATCTTTCTTCAGTCTTCTTGTATATACTTCTTCATTCTTAAAATTCGAGTGTTATTCCTATCCCTTTCTGTTTTCTTCAATTCAATTTTCTGCTGGCCGGTATTCCACTTCCTATTGGCGCTACATACCATTTATATCTGTCAACATAAGTAGCCTACACCACAGTATTCATCAACAGTCTGTATATGTCATTTAAAAGAAACTCAACTATCTTAAAAGAATAGAACTCTTCTTAGTTAATATTACAGTCGGTGTTATTACTGAGCTTATTAGGAGCGGTGGATTACAGGTTTCAGTAACATTGTTCCAATAGACGATACGATGTTTACCTCACGCTCTACTCATCTGGTTTGTGAAACAGGATATTGTACCAATTTCATACACCATGTGGGCCATATCTTTGAATACTAATGTATACTAGGTTGTAGAGTAATATTAACTTACGTGGTGGGTTAAGACGAACCAATTGTATAACTAAGTTATATATACATGATACCAGTTTAATTTTTTATGACCTGAAAATTGTTTATGTAGCCAAGTCTGTACTCACTTTATCCGAGTATAATCCAACCAACAGATAATTGCCAAGTTTTAAACACTGTTCCAGGAATGATAAATGACCAATGTCTATTTTTCATAATATAGTTATACATTAAAAGGTTAAAGAATTATGGTATTCGACTACAATTGTTAATTTCGATCATTTTCAACTATGTGTGAATAATTAAAAATTTGTTGTACAATGCAACGGACCGAGACGACAAAAAGAACAGTTTTCATTGAGTTTATTTCAAAAGCAACCTTTAACAGCTGCAGATTTTAATTTTACATTCAAGAAATCTGCACCTGTGAAATTTCTTTTTAAATCGCTGAATTTGACACTCCAAAACTCAAAAGTAAAAAATTACACATTCCTTTTACTTTTAAAAAGGGACATATTAAAGTAGTGAAAGAATATGGAGTTAACTCACTTGGTTCGTTCGTAATATTAGTATGAAGAAAATGTTCTGCATTTGTGGTGAAGTTTATGCTGTAACTTATTCACAGAAGTAATCAACGTACTCCTATTGTCAAATCATGTCGTAGAACTAGGTAGCATTACAATACTTTTGACAGCATATATGATTCGTTTTGTCTCTGGCATGTACTAAGAAAACAGGCTTGTAAAATGGCCTTATTACTCAACTAACTAGTAACTAAGTTGTCAGTCAGACAGCTGCAACTTAGGACCAGGCACGTATAGAATTCGGTCCAAATTACCACACCTCATTAGCACAACAAGATGAACACCAAATTTATAGAAGTAGTCACTTCAATGGTGGTAATATACAAAAGAAAGATTGAGTATAAGGATATAGTACAGGAAGAAAGAAGTAGTTCATAAAATGAAATATAAAGCGACTTTAATCTCACGGTTTAAGGCAGGACAAAGAGGTGATACACCGATGCCATTGGTATCGATTCTGAACCGTGTCACCAAGAGTCTCCAACCATTGGTTACGATAGTAACGTAGACCCCAACCAAATAATCTGCATCTTCCAACATGGATCAGACTAGAAGTTAGTGACTTCATGCACTGATGCCACGTTTTGCTTTGACCCCCCCCAACCTTCTTCCAACCATCTCCAACACCGGTTAGCATTGCACGTCGTGGTAATCGGTATTCACGCATACGTAAAATGTGGGCCAACCATCACAGTCGATGAAGATTCACAACCTCATCAACTGATTTACCATCATTCCCTAATACCCTGCGTCTAACCTCACTATTACTTACCCGTTGATCCCAGCAGACGCCAGCAATATTTCCAAGGCATCTGTGATCAAATCCTAGTAACCTACGAGTATCTTCTACTCTAACTGGCCGTGTTTCGCAACCGTAAAGAACAGAATGAACTGCCGCGCAGTATTATCGTCTTTTAATTGATAGACGGATATCTCGCCTTTGCCATAGGTGACGTAAGTTGGCAAAAGCCAAACGCGCTTTTTCGAAATCCGTGCTGAGATTTCGTCAGACACCAACCCATTAGGGCTGATCAGACTTCCAAGACAAGTGAAGTTGTCAACGCGTTCGACTACTTTAATCCCTATCCTCAGTTCAGGTTTTGACGCAGACCAGTCCTGAAGCAACATCTTGCATTTAGAGGGAGAGAAGCGCATACAAAAAACATTCTGGCATTGTTGCTTAGTGCTTCCAGAAGACTCTGCATTTTATCAGCGTCTTCACCAAACAGGACTATGTCATCTGCGTATTCGAAGTCGATAAGTGGACCTATTGTAAGAGATCATTTCCCGAAAATTCAGTCGACGAGAATGTTATTTTCATCAGTATGTCTATGATGAAGTTGAACAAAAATGGAGATAGTGGACAGTCTTGCTGTACACCACTTGAGGTTTACAAATCACATGACAGTTCGCCATAAGCTCTCACTCGACTAGTAGTGTTCGAGTAAAGAGCCTTCACAAGGTTTATGTACTTCTGAGATACGCCTTTCATTGACAGACCCTGCCACAGCATCTCGCGGTCTACGGAGTCAAATGCTGCTTTTAAGTTGAGAATGACCACCATTGTCGGACGCCGATAAGTATGCCTGTGTTCTAGAACCTGGTGAATATATGGTTTCTGAAATTAAATTTTCTAGCATTAGTTTCTCAATTACAGTGATAACTTATTATGTAATGAGCACAACTTAGTGGTAGTAGTATTCATAATCAACTACTAAGTTGTGCTCATTACATAGTAAGTTATCACTGTAATTGAGAAACTAATACTTAGAAATTTATTCACATAAGCCAACTTTTTTTCGTAGCAAATTCAGCCACTATTGAAAGAAGACAGTCTGAAAACACCTGACCCGATTACATAATACTTTGGAAAATTATGTTGCTCATTGCTGTGTGGTAATGAAAGTAAGGTGCGATTGGCAATTGAGGGTCGACTAACAGACGCGAACTATTTAATGTGATTTTCCTCCTATTACCAATATCTACTCTGGACTTCTATGTGTAAACTGTTTTGCAGTTGCGAGAAATAAATTATTATCTAGTCTAAACTCTAGTTTTCTATATTTGATCGCAAATAGTGTGTCTGGAATAATGTGATCTAGCCTGGTTCTAGCGTATCGACCGAGTGTCCAAGTAAGTGGTAGGATAATCTTGATCATCAGTCGTATTATCGTATCATAGTAGCATGGTGTTGCAAACAGAAAATATTTAAATTACACCATTATATCAATTACATATAAAGGATACGGAATAGGTCAAATGTACCCGGTACATATACCACATGGTCATTACTATTAGGTTCACGAAATTGACCAGAACAAATTTGACTTATACGTAAAATATTCGGCATATACGTCATACCACCAGTAGCCAAAATTGAAACATTAATTGAATCTGTCACATCATTAGCTTTAGAACAATTTGAATTATGGCCCCGATATATGGGTTATAATGTTTCCTTCGTCTGGAAATCAAAATAAAACATTAAAATCCAAGTAAGAGAATGATTTTAAAGGAAAAATGGGTACCGATAATTTCAAGTGTTTCGTTGTACTATACATTTTTGAATGTCAAGCGAAATCTTGCTGTTTAAAGCACTCGACCTCTGACTATTGAGTCGCAGCTTCGAACCCCACTTTATCTGCTTCAGTTTAGGCAACTTGATAGTACTACGAACCCTAAAGCAAACACAAAAAGTTAAAAACTAAATGCATAAACTTTCGGTTTGGTAGACCAGTTACATTATTTAAAATTGATCATTAGGAAATCGTAAACCCGTACTTCTACTTTTACCCTTACCTAACAGTAGCCGACAATTCAAGAAAACATTTATATGACATTCAGTGTTCGAACCTAGAAGTCACAACCTACTGATCGATCTCAATAAGTAATAAATTTCATTAGGGGAACTTATGTGAACGAATTGATGCTTAGATGACTAAACATTTGTTATTAACTGAGACGTAAAGCCTTTTTGATGACAGTCTCTTCATGTTAATTGTCAAAAATCGACGAATCCGGTTTTACAAATTTCCCCCAATTTCAGAAACATGAGTCAGCGAGTTATAATCAACGTAAGAGGGTGTCTCCGGGAAGCATAAAAGAGATTGTGAAAATTCTCGAGATTACGAAGAAATCGCTACATAATCAAAACAACAAAAACGTTTCCTGAGTTCCTTCAACTCATGCTATGCTTTCTGAGTATTTTATTGTATATCATCGAGTCTTGTTAATAAGGTTCGACATCGCCACCTATATATAAGATTCGAGCCAACAACATTAGCCTACTTATTTAAAACAGATTCGTATCATCACTTTCAAGTGTATGGCCGGGTAAGATTTAATAAACCATTTTACCGATTTCATGGCTATTAGAATTAAATAGCGAAAAGTCAGCAAAAACAATTTTGTTTTGTTCTTTAATCACTAGGAAAGTTTAAATTTCTATTGATGATATTCATAATAATAATGAATTTTACCGATTCATGACACCATTTTTTGTTTGTTTATCTTTATTTTTTTTTTATCTCTTTATTATTTATACATTTAAGATGTTTATTTAATCAAATTTCGTATTAAGTAGTTTATTATTATTTTAATACGTTTATTTTTACAAGGTTTGACCTATTTCCTATCATACTGTTTATTATTTACTACTTTGTTAGTCACCTTATTACTAAATTATACTTTTCACTTGCTACGTTTAGTTATGTGATCCTTTTGTATATTACAGTAAATCCTGAAGAGGGTCGAAATGGAAACTGTATAGTTTGTTTAGATCTGTTCGAAAAAGTTGCACACGACAATAACACAGTAATTAACAATTATTCACAATAATACATTGATTAGATCCGTATCACTGTTATAGCGCTTTAACTAAGATAAAGTTGACTTAGTGAATAGTCACAATTTTCTGATTTCCGAGCAAAGGGCATCTTACAAATAATTCAACTATCATGTTAATCAGTGCTTCGGCAATAATTGTCGTTTACTTTAAATATCAGAGATAAAATATGATTTTTTTGACTTTTTTCGTTGATATATCGTTAGCCCCAACATTAACTAGAGTGGTACCGTAATAAACGAGAACACAGATGGGGACAACCAATGTATCTTATACAAAAATTACAGATTATCTTGATAAATTATGAGAACCATACACTAAATACTTCATTTGGAAATTTCCATCATTCATCCTTCACACTCGGTAAGGGTTTTCCTGATCACAATTCCTTTCTTTTTTCCATGCTTCTCTCCTCAACTCGTTTTTCTTAGCCTTCTGCTGCCAGCCACTCAACATTTGATTGGTATTACATACTACTTACGTCGACAGACATAAGTAGCATACATAACAGTACCCCTTTAATTTAAAACCTTTTACTTAATTTTTGATTTACAGTAATTTATCTTGTAATTTTAGCTATGATTGAAAACAGTGTGTATACTCAGAACTATTAAAATCCCAAAATAATCAAGAGAAACTTATAAAACACTCATTTACCTTACAAGGATGCATAAACTTATCTTTACTTTTTAATACAGAATCTAATGATTGTGTTCGTCGGAATGAACACTCTGTACTTCAGCTAAACTGCGATGCATAAGAACCTTGATCTTGTAACTGTTGTATACGTTTTAACATTCTGTATGCATAATAATAATAATATAATAATAATAATAATAATAATAATAATAATTTTTTTCAGTTATATGTGGATAAAAATAAACTGATGATATAAGCACAGATATTTGCATAGGAAAACAGGGATAATGAACATAAAGTGATTTAAACTATTGGAATTAAATAACGTTTCACATGGTGGTGATCTAGTTCAAGCTTCTTCAGAGAAATAACATTGATTTTCGAGTCGCAACCTACGCAAGAAACAGCTGTCCAGTTCTACATGTTGATTGTAGGATTCTGAATGCTATGGTGTATGTAAATTACGTTTTTACAGTGGTTTCTTATCTAATAAGTGTTGTCTGTTACTCCGTTTTGTTTAGTCATAATTCAACTATTAATGTGAACTCCAAATACTAGTGCATTCAGACATAGTTTTGGTCTATTTTTTGTGTCAGTATTCTGCTTCTTTCTTCTTACGTTAAATCATTTCAGCTTAGTATCTGAACAAACAACACATGCAAAACAGTATTATTCAATACTAACACATCTGATGTCAGTTGACGATACAGGAATTCCGTCTTATCACTTTATTTACTAATTCAAAAATGAGTCATTTGGAAATTATATGGATTTATCCATTTTAAAATATTAAAAATATCCTTCAACACTGTTACTAAGTTAAATGATATAAAGCATTCATTTATTTCAAATACAAACATGTGAAACACCTCGACATATAAACGAATTCTATGAACACATGAAATCGCACCATCATTTTTTATCCAACTAATGATTTACACAAATGTACACAGAAACAATAACGACAGCCAATTACTAACCTTGACACTAAAGCTGTAGTAGATATACCCTCAGTTCGTTTAACTTCTCTAATTGTAACAAAATGAATTAGTTTATAAATCACCATTTATAATGATACTGAGAGAGAAAAAACGCTGGTTAAAATAGAATTATACAGAATAAAATTCACTCAATACAGTGTGGTTATATTAGAGATGTGACAATTATAGTGCATTGAATTAACATTATTCATGAGCAAAAACGAAATGTATTACAACGCTCCACTTCCTGTGAATCCTACCAACAGTTTAACGTAAATGTCATGTGCTTTGAAGTTTCTTTCTTCCTTATTTGCAAACAATATTCAAATATTATGGTCAACTATACAAGGGATGATGGTAAAATTCATTCTCATTAGTAACTTAAAATTAGTGTATAATCAACTAAAAGGGATCGATACTTACATCATATTTGCATCGCATAAGAAATATGATGCTTGATTTTTCCTCTACAACCACATAATGGTGGTCGCTACAAATTCGAACATCTTCATTCCCTATAGATGACGATCTAGATGGTGTCTAGAACTTTCACAGGAACAATGCTATGACGTATGCTAAGAGTGTTAGACTTTTAAGGATAAGATAGGAGGTTCGAATCCTGTTCAATATGCTCCACTTCGAGAAGTCGGGTAATTTTGTCATCGCTTTTACTAGATGTGTTTGAAAATCGAGTAATCGATTCTGCACTCTACATATTACAGAATTTTCTTAAGAAAATGAGTAGTACAGCCTTTTAAGTAATAAATCTCACTTGTATCGATTAGTTGCTTTAACTTCTGCATAAGGATCTGATCCATCATTGGATACCACCAGATCATCTACAATTATATAGATTAAAAATAAACTTTGAAGGTATGCAAATTTATAATTTAGTCCACCCAAAAACATTAGAGGACATGACATAATACACCAGTTACAAAGAAAAGGTGTTTGTGAGAATCAGAATTCTTCTTTAATTGCAAAAATACAGGAAATCAAGATCGAGTGTGTGCAGCAAATGTTGCCAACGAATATATGAAGTCACCTTATTTATGATCTTTTTTTCATTTGAACACATAAACATTGGTACAAGGATGCACCAAGATATGTTATAGAAATCATTTAATTTGTATGAGGTTTGAGATGCTGGCCAGGTGTTCAAACCAAAACAAGTGGTTTTCTTAGAGGGCCACTCCCCAAGCTTTGGCCGGGAGATCTAATCCATAAAGTAGTGGGGCAACGTCAAGAGATACGGTCCCATGGTAGCCGGGGACCAAGCGCAGGTTTATACTTCATTTGATCCCTCAGAGTTCTGGAGCTCATGTGCACCACTGGTTCAGGATCAGGGTCTTCCAACTCCTCCAGATGGATGATCCGTACCTGTCAACCGGGTTGAGGCGCTGGACATTCGTTTTTTGTCCTCTCAATTCAGTAATCAACACCTGCAGTGAGCAGGTAGTGGGTAGGACTTCCCTGGGAGTGGACCGAGCCGTATTGGGAAGTGTGAATCTCCTAGATATGAAGTTCTACTCACTGCCTTCTCGTGGTGGGGGTGTTGTGTACGAAATTGAGAGAACGAAAAGCGAATGTCCGGAGCTTTAACCGGGTTGGTGGACATGGAGAGTCCACCTAGGGGAGTTGGAAAACCCTCATTCCAAACTAATGGTGCACATGGGCTCCAGTATCCTAAAGGAACAAATGGTGTATGAACCAACTGTCGGTCACCGACTACCATGGGACTACATCTCTTTACGATGCCCCACTGCATTGTGGATCAGACCTTCAGGTCGAAGGCTCCGGGTGTGGCCCCCTAAGTAAACGACCTGCTTCGTTTTGGGCACCTGGGCAGTATCACAGCCCTCACACATATCGAATGAGATTTGTGTGGCGCATATGTATTTGGTGTCTCTTTGTACCAATAGCTATGTGTTAAAATAAATAATAAATATGATCTAAGAGCTAGTTATAAAATGTTGTTGGAGGATTTAAGCAATATGGTTCAAATTTAGTTTTAATTATACAGATATATTCATTTTCTGTTTTCCTCTATATCATTCTGTACTTTTTATTTTCAAACCTTATTAGATTTCTTTAATTATATCTTCTATATTTAGACGTTAATATCAGTGATGCTACTATTATTTCCATTCTTTTTCCTTTCCTTTTGTCACACTGATTCGAAATGTGTCAGCATGGTCCAGTTGATATTAATGCCAGCTCATATGTTTGTGATTGAAAAACTTTAAATATCTAATGAAAATCTGAATAAGGTTGACCTTGCCCACAAATGTCCTATCTGAGCATTTTCCTTTAATGGTTGTGTAGGTGACGCTACAGTTAAGGGTACAACTTAGTCTTTAATACACTACATAATTTCAAAATGGATTATTTCAATTAACACAGAACCAGAAAATAAAACATTAATATGTTAAGAAAATAATATATAACATACAGCAATGAAAAATATGTAACACTTATATTTACAAAACGAGGAAAATATTCATAGATTATTGGTTAAGTAAAAATAGGCCTCATGAAGGTCAGGTTTAGTCATGGTGAAAGGAATTTAGAACAGTGGAATTTGTTTGTTTACTTATTTGATTATGACCATGAATGACACAAAAGGGAAATATTATTAATTTTGCCTGTAGCTAATAACATTGACGTATTCATGGTTAACAGGAAATAAATTTATAATGGATAGTACTGAGCTTTAATATTTCCAAAATACACCAGAAATTCCTTAGGCGGTTTCATAAATGTTGTGGATTAATCAAGACTAAGCAGAAATATAATAGCTCAAATGCAATATGATCTCTAAAGCACAATTCGACAATTCTTTAAAAATCAAGTAACGCAGTGTTATTGACTAAGAATAAAGAGAACTCAGTGAATTAAAAACCTATCCACTGCTGGGGCGTTGGCGATCGATCACTTCAGCCCCAAATTCTGCCTGCAAAAACGATACGTCCAACTTCTCATCCTTCCGTGGCCATAACTCACTTCCCCCGCGTTTTGGCTTTGTTTTATTTTTATCATTATTTTGTACTTTTCAGAATGTGATCAGTTATTATTATCCTCTAACTTTTTTTTTCATAATTATTCAATATCCTGACCATTAAGCAACCTACTATTGATATTTGAAATCTCGAATCACTTTATGATGCAATCTCTTTTATCTTTCTATAGACTTCAATATTTATCAAACTTCCATAAATACGAATATACAGCTTAAGCAAATGATTTCGTCGAAAAAAATTTTCTCCACTAAATTCTTAAACTTATTTATAAGTAATGGCGCAAGCAAGAAACCTCGTGCTTAAACTGTCATGTTGACCAGAGGAATTTCCAACAAGAAATACTGAACGACTCTTTGTTATGGTTGACAGATTTACAATTTGAGTCTACAGGCTAAAAATGGGTGAGCATATATAAAAAATCCGTTCACTATTATATTCTCGATCACAGTTTATCTAAGTGTGGAATTTACAACAGAGCATGATAAGTGGGTAAATTTGTTTGCTCAAATTAGCAACCTTAGGATCGACTTTTCAAAACCCACTGAACCTGTTTAGGCCTGATATAATGAATAGTTCTAAGAAACTTTGCGCAACATATATTCACAAGACCTTTGAACATAAATTTTGAATAATTACAACCCATCAAATTAATATCTTTCCAGTATGGAACAGTAGTTGAAATAAACGATGGATAATTAAACAGAACACTGAAAAAAATTAACGTCAATGTGTTTAGACATCAAATTCAACTATCTCCAGATTATTCTTAATTTATAGATTAAAACACACTTGAATATTCTATCAGACAGTTGGTAGAAAACCATCTGTATTGGTTGTTTAGATTCAACTCTGCTTACAAAGTTTGTGGAAATTCCTATGACTGAAAGTTCATTTTCACCAAAAAATCCGATAAACGCGAATTACATGGTGACTCTTTACATATGAACACTTTTCTATTACTGTGAAAAACATTTACGAATATCCAGAACAGATAAATTCGATTTCAATATATGGAATTTTGTGTTGGTTGAAGGTCAACCAATCAAAACTGAGAGATTAATGAAGATTTAGATCATTTTGATCCGGCGTGGTCTTATTCCAATGCCATAACCTATGATACAACACTAGTGAATTAGTTAGGTAAAGTAGAAGTGTTGAAGTTACAGGCATGATATAAGCCCCTAATGAAAAGAAAAACAAACAAGAATGTAAATTTTAAGACACTAATAATTTGTGCGGTCTTTACCACTGAAGGAATCACTGACAACAATCAAACAATGTACAGGCTTGAAATATCTGGAATATATTCAGAACAGGCTTCATGATAGAAAAATTTTCGGTACTAATGACTAAAAGCGCCCATAACGTTGGGTTTCATTAATCCTTTTCTCAATAGATCACAACATATTTTCAAGCATAAATTTCGTCGAGAGAACGTCAATTAATAGTCAATTTATTTTAAATCCAAAACAACTCACTAAACTAATACAACATACCTCCATGTACACAAAATTCACAAGAATATTTTTCTAACGTTTTTACATAGGTAAAGTATGGTGCATCTTCTACTACCTATGAGGGAACATTTTAGAATAACAGCTGATTAACAAGTTAAATTTGCTACGTTTAGATCAACTAGACAATAAATTTGAATAAGTACTCAAATGGTACTTGGAACTTTTATGTGTTAAACTAGACAATTTTTGAGTGATTAAGGTTAATTTAAAACTGACGGAACTCATAAAGTGAACATTCATTACATGTAAAATATTTTGATGAAATATGGTCACAGAGAAAACACTTGGTAGTTTCTGAATTCCAGAAAATCACTAGTAGTCAATATAAGTATATCCTAATGAATCTATGCATGTTATGATAATCAGTTTAATCTCATTAAATTAAAAACGTGGTACTATATGAAAGTTCCAAAATACCGTCTATCCTTTCAAGTCAAATCAGTAGAAAGTTTATCACTCCAACATACATGAATGATTTGAGTAGCTAAATCTACCATCAAGCGCCAGAAAAACAGTACAACAGTATTGTTCAAGAAGACATGGTCACGGACAGGTATGAATTCTAGTTTATTAATTTGTGCACATTTATCCTATGTTTTACTCTGCTTATTGTTGGCTGGCTTACTAATTTATTCACTCAACCTTCATTATTACAATAAACACATTATATGTCGTCCTATGTAACTAGATAGTATTGTTAGCCATCGGGGGTTAGTATATGAGTCTTGAACTGTTATGAATAATGTACAATATTCCTTCAATTTTTATCTACATCGATAGAAACTCCAAGTATTTATAATTAAAACAGTTTTACGATGAGTAGAGAGAATATTAATACGTACATTTTTTTATGAACACAAATTATTTACCGAATGATAATCCAGACAAAGCTCTCAATGTTTATAATGAACAATTTTAACCAATCGAAGTACGTAAGTTTGTTACCTAATTTATGATTTCCATAGTGAGGGAAACAATTCTCGAGCTCATATCCTTCACCACTACAACACGAGTTCGACTACAACCCTAGGGAAACTTCTGATTTTCGTGGAATTTAAACATGAGTCATTTGGTAACAAAAACTATTGAGCTACTTTTTCTGATTTCATTATTAAAATCTAGAGAATATAAAATTTGCAAAATGTCAATGACCGTTTACTGATAACCTACAACCACAGATCCACATTTATTACCTAGAATGGCTTACAAGATGATGCAAACTACTATGTATGATTCCGCAATATCCATCGGACTGACCGTTGAGCTGAGCCATGTTGTTAGATGCAGACTTTCTATTTAAAGCCTAAGAACTATCTATAATCTATGGGTGGAGACAGATTAAGTCTATAACTGGTTGCAGTGGCACAGAATTATTTAGTTTACAACTGATTCTTAGTCTCATCACACAGTTTCCAGTTCTGATCCTCATTTATTTCTTCAACATTATCTTTCTCATGCTTATTATTCCATTACAGTTGATATTATTTTCTATCCTATCCTTTTCAATTTTTGGTTGTGATAACGCAAGATTTCATAACTTGGACCTATAAATTTATGTTCAGTTCTATGTTATCACTAACTCTAATATGAGTTTTCATAAACACTTAAGTAATAAGTTTTACTTACTTCATCGACCCTTTTCATAGCTCTGATCAGCCGATAACGCTCTTGTTCATGTAAAACTGGTGGTCCTTTATGTTTAGTGATTTCTTCTAATAAATTAATGGTAAAGTTAAGAATTAAATATAAACAAATAAAAGTATGCAAACTCACTGTCAGAGTGATTTCCAACGATAAGTTGATCACCGAGTGATTTAGCCTGACGAAGAGCATTGGCATGTCCAAAATGAACTAGGTCGAAACTTTAGAGAAATATTTCACTTTTATTTCAAAATAAATAAAATACGATTACCATCCGTCGACCCATACACGTATGGGTTTCCGATTGTTTGAAGATGGATTGTGCATTTCAACCCGTCAGCTAAATGGTAATCTTACACTTTTATGGCAAACATTATAAATTTACGTCTTTCAGGGGTACACGAATTAAGATTTAGATGTGCTGAATTTCACTTCTTGAGGCAACAATGTTCACTGTGGAATACAAAAGATAGCAAAATAAGACTGCTTTTATGAAAGTATTGATTTATATATATATACCAAATATTTTGATGGATAATAAGTCACTTTTAGCAACGAATCCGAACTTTATTACAGATCGCAACCAAAATCTTTAGTCTTCATTACAAACATTGATTTTTGAACCTCTTAATTCACTTCCGATAGGACACACATATATAGGGATACGTACCAATAGAGATTGCCTTAAGACAGTACAGTGAGAATCAATCGACTGAAGGAAAAGCAAATAAATCAAAACTATGGTGAGATTATAATTCGTGGACGATCTTTAAGCAACGCTGAAGTGACCTTGAGGATGCCTACTAACTAGGACATAATGAGGGTCATAAAGCAGTGTAAGGAATTAGAATAATGATTTACAGTTCGTGGTTATGGTTGAGAATTAGATTCAGGGTTTCCATCACAAACTGACCTCAGCTAAAATGACAAAACTCTATCTGGCCAATTGGATGAATGAATTTCGCGCCAAAATCTATGACCTGTTATCTTACATCTGATTGGGTTTTCCATAAATTATTGTCTCATCGGTTCCTACCTGGAAGCATCGTTGGTCAATTGCTACTAGAAATGAAATCTCGTTATATAAAGTCCTTTTCCTTTTTAACCACTTTAAACTAATTCTGTACATCTTCCCGCATTGGTTTAGGAGACAGTTTAAATAGAAGGTATCCAATTACCGTTCCGAAACATCAGACAATCATCATTTTTTAAAGTTCCATTGCGTTACAAGCAATCGTTATCACGTAAAAGTGAAATAATTGGATACCAAGCATTAAGAGTATTAAGTTTCTCACCGTTTTCAATCCAAAAACTTTACTTTTGATGACAATGTTAATTTACTATAATGGAGGCTTCTTGTCACATATAAAGTTTTCCGATATTTTGCAGTCACATAGCTACAACGTAAGACCAGGCATATATAGCATCGGTCCAAGTTACCACACCTCATTAGCACAACAAGATGAACACCAAATTTATAGAAGTAGTCACTTCAATGGTGGTAATATACAAAAGAAAGATTGAGTATAAGGATATAGTACACGAAGAAAGAAGTAGTTCGTAAAAAGAAATATAAAGCGACTTTAATCTCACGGTTTAAGGCAGGACAAAGAGTGTATACACCGATGCCATTGGGATCGATTCTGAGCCGTGTCACCAAGAGTCTCCAACCATGGGTTACGATAGTAACGTAGACCCCAACCAAATAATCTGCATCTTCCAACATGGATCAGACTAGAAGTTAGTGACTTCAAGCACTGATGCCACGTTTTGCTTTGGCCTCCCCCAACCTTCTTCCAACCATCTCCAACACCGGTTAGCATTGCACGTCGTGGTAATCGGCATTCACGCATACGTAAAATGTGGGCCAACCATCACAGTCGATGAAGATTCACAACCTCATCAACTGATTTACCATCATTCCCTAATACCCTGCGTCTAACCTCACTATTACTTACCCGGTGATCCCAGCAGACGCCAGCAATATTTCCAAGGCCTCTGCGGTCAAATACTAGTAGCTTACGAGTATCTTCTACTCTTAATGGCCATGTTTCGCTGCCGTAAAGTAGAACAGAATGAACTGCCGTGCAGTATACTCGTCCTTTTATTGATAGACCAATATTTCGCCTTCGCCATAGGTGACGAACTAAACGAGTTTTTCGAATTCGTGCAGAGATTTCGCCTGACACCAACCCATTAGGGCTGATCAGACTTCCAAGACAAGTGAAGTTGTCAACGCGTTCGACTACTTTAATCCCTATCCTCAGTTCAGGTGTTGACGCAGACCAGTCCTGAAGCAACAACTTGCATTTAGAGGGAGAGAAGCGCATACAAAACATTCTGGCATTGTTGCTTAGTGCTTCCAGAAGACTCTGCATTTTATCAGCGTCTTCACCAAACAGGACTATGTCATCTGCGTATTCTAAGTCGATAAGTGAATCTACTGGAAGGAGATCATTACCCGAAAATTCAGTCGACAAGAATGTTATTTTCATCAGTATGTCTATGATGAAGTTGAACAAAAATGGAGATAGTGGATAGTCTTGCAGTACACCACTTGAGGTTACAAAATCACATGACAGTTCGCCATAAGCTCTCACTCGACTAGTAGTGTTCGAGTAAACAGCCATGACAAGGTTTATGAATTTCTGAGGTACACCTTTCAGTGACGGACACTGTCACAGAACCTCTCGGTCTACAGATTCAAATGCTGTTTTCAAAGTAAAAAACAACTATCATTGTCGGACGCCAACAAGCATGCTTGTGTTCTAAAGCCTGACGAACGGTGAATATGTGGTCGATGCGGCCACGACCCGGTCTGAAGTCAGCCTGTTTTTCTCGTGTTTTCAGTTCACGAGTCTTTGTTGGGCTTCCTAATTGGTTCTCAAATTGTGGTTGACTAGCTTTCCGAAACAAATTTTTCAGGCTCTAACAAGCCCTGATTCCTTAAGCGTACTAAGTTTTACATAAGTGCGGAATTAAAAGCATCTTTTGTAATGTATTCAAATGACTATTGTTAGAACGTCAACCAATTAATTTTAGCGAAGTGGTTGAGTCCCCTGACAGCTTCACTTATCTTGAGGGTATTATTTATCGTCGGTCAGTAACAACGTAGAACTTCGTACGTACGTACGTCAGTTCGAGTTGCCACACCACATTATCACAGATATGCAATGGTGGATTCAAATCCCGTAGTGGTAGAGGTAATAAGAGTATAAGCAGTAATCGGGAAGATTAGGGTTTGGAGATGTTATTTGAAGAGTATAATCCAGTGAAATAAACTTAGGAAGAGAAAAAAAAAGGAGGAATCAGAAGATTAGAATTTATGAAAACACAAAGAGTGGACACACCTGTGCCACTGCAATCGATTTTGAGCCATTTCATTCAAGGTCTCTAACCATCGGTTTCTATGGTCATGCGGATCCCAACCAGGTAGTCTACACCTACCAACATGGCTCAAACAACTTGTCAGTGACTTCCTGGACTTGTGCCATGTTTTGGTCTGGCCACCCCTAGCTTTCTTCCAACCTACTCCTATACCACTGAACATAGCACGTCGAGTCAGTCGGTCGTTGGGCATATGTAACACGTGTCCCAGCCATCTCAACTGATGAAGTTTCACTATTTCATCAATTGATTTGCCATCCTCACCTGGTACCCGTTTTCTAACAACTGCATTACTCACTCCATGGTCCCATGATATACGAGCAATATTTCGAAGACACCTATGATCGAATACTAGTAGCCTATGAATATCCTCTACTCTTACCGGCCATGTTTCACTGCCATAAAGTAGGACGGGACGAACTGCTGCGCAGTAATCACGTCCTTTGGTTGATAGACGGATATCTCGCCTACGCTATAAATGACGCAAGTTGGCAAAAGCTAGTCGAGCCTTCTGTATCCGTGCTGAGATTTCGTCACACACTAACCACAAGGGCTGATGAGACTTCCAAAATAAGTGAAGCGGTCGACACACTCACCTACTTCACTCCCTATCACTAGTTCGGGTGTCGATGTAACCCAATCCTGAAGCAACATTTTGCATTTCGAGGGAGAGAATCGCATCCCGAACATGCTTGCATTGTTGCTTAGAGTGGTCAGAGGACTGCATTTTGTCAACGTCTTCAGCAATTAAAACTATGTCATCAGCATATTCTAAGTCAACAAGTGAACTTCCCGGTAGAAGTTCAACCCCTGGAAATTTAGATGTGGAGAGTGTTATCTCTAAAAGTACGTCGACGACGAGGTTGAACAAGAATGGGGAGAGTGGACAGCCCTGACGAACACTACTTGAGGTAATCAATTCTGATGACAGTTCGCCATTAGCTCTCACTCTATTAGTTGTGTTCGAGGAGAGAGCCTTTATAAGGTTAATGTACTTCTTTGGTACTCCTTTCAGTGAAAACACTGCCATAGAACCTCACGATCAACAGAGTCGAATGCCGCCTTAAGGTCGAGAAATACTACCATTGTGGGGCGTCTGAATGTGTGTCTGTGTTCTAGAACCTGACGTAGTGTGAATATCTGATCTATACAACCACGTCCAGGTCGAAAACCGGCCTGGTTTTCTCTAGTCTGCTCTTCACGAGCTTTGATTAGGCGTCGAAGTATTATTGAGGCTAATATTTTACACTATATTAGTCAAACTGATTCCTCTGTGATTGTCACAAGAGGACTTTTGTCCTTTCTTATAGACTGGCACAATCAGTGATCGAGACCAGTCAGATGGGATTACGTCCAGTTCCCAAATTCTACCTGAGACCTCAGTTAATCTCATTGCTAATACTGAACCACCATCCTTAAAAACCTCAGGAGTAAACCTGTCAGGGCCTGCTGCTCTCCCTCGTTTCAGATTTCCTATGGCTTTTCCAACTTCGTAAAGGGACGGAGGACCCACACTAACTTGCCATTCAGGTTGACTGGAGATCGCGGGAAACCGAAGTGTGGCTGAAGGCCAGTTGAACTGATCCCTAAAGTGTTCTGCCAGTCGATCCAATCTCCTGGATTGAGAATGTATAATATGTCCATCTTTCTCTGAGATTGTTTCGCTAACGGTCGGGTTCCTAATTCCGGTTTCCTTAACGAGTCTGAACAATTGTCTGCTATTACCTATTGCCGCTGCCTTTCCACTCCTCTTGATTTCGCTACCCACCACTGTTCGCGATCATTGCGTAGGCTTCTTGTCTGCTTGTGCTTAAGCTGACTCCGCTCTTCATTATGTTCAGATCCAGATGTAATGAGTTTCCGAGCATCTATCAGTGCGATAGATGCTGCTGAGATCCAGTGTTGCTCCCTAACCTTATGGTTTGCCTTACTAGCAGTTATCACTGCTGTGTCCACCGCTTTCTGGATATCATTCCATGCCGCCTCGGGGTGGGCATCACATACATGGCTGCCTAACTGTTTTTCTAGTTGTTCCTGAATTATACCCTTAGCTTGACTATCATTAAGTAGGGCCCTAAGAGGTTTCCTTGCAGCGTCTTTCCTACGTCCAGTAAGACACATGCAAATACGCGCTCCCACTAGAGCATGATCTGAATCTAAGCATGTGCTCCAGAATGAGCGACAGTCTTCTATCGACCCCCTCCATCGGTGGCTGATAGCGATGTGATCCATTTGGGTTCAACGTTGGGACGAATTAGGGGGTCGCCATGTTAAAAGAGGTTTTTCCTTATGCTTAAAGTTAGTATTTGCAAGGAACAGGCGGTTATCTGAGCATAGTTGCAACAGACGGTCGCCATTATCTGTTCTTTGAGCCACGACACCATAAGATCCACCTAGGTGCCTTTCTCTATCGCTTAGTTTACCTACTTGAGCATCAAAGTCACCGGCCACCATTACTACATCCGAGCGCCTAGCTTTTCGGAGAAGGTCGGAGAGCTTCCTGTAAAACTCATCTTTTACATCATCCGAGCTGCAGTCAGTGGGAGAATAGGCAGAAACGACAAAAAGGCAACGACGAGTGTCCCTATCTTTTCGGATCCTTACTGTTCCGTTTAGTCGGACAGCACACAAACGACTGTCTACTGATATTCAGTCTAAGAGAGCTAGTTCTGCCCTAGGACTCAATGCTATACCTACACCGGCGAGGCCACGGGAAGCAGAATCACGGCTTCCAGATACACGATGCGTAAATCGTGTCGGTTCTTTATTTGGGCATGGTGAGGTCAAATGAATGACGCTACTCGTATCCTGTATGCGCGTTTCGGAGACGCAGCACACATCGATGGCGCGAGATTCTAAAGTCCTAGCTAAGGAAGCCTGCTGTCCCATTTGGCAAAGTGTTCGTACGTTAAAAGCTCCTACGTGTAGTTTAGAGCGTGGTTTCAGGAGACCAGGAATAGCGTTCCACGTACTTGAATCGTTTGCCCTAGCGGTGCGAGGTGATAAAGAGACGTCAGGAGGTTTAGTCATGGAGATAAAGAGGTATTAAGAGGTGAGGGAAGGATTTGAATGTGACCAACTTGGTCTCGTGTGCTGTTACGGGTAGGAGGTCTGATGTCACTTCCCCGCTGCCCACACCGTGGAAGGGTATTTCTTGAGGAACCTGAAAAGGAAATTGGATTAGTGTTGGTCTTGACGACCTGGGAGCGTGACCGCAGAGCCCAAGGGACAACTGTTTGAGGCCGGTCGCGCACAGCCTTTTTGTGTAAGGTTTTTGACGTGTGAGCTCCGTTCTTCAAATGGCCTTACCGCCGGAGACGGAAATCCGTGAGGTAAGGTGAGGTGTGACATTTTTAGGGTCGGGCTTTTCTAACCCCACTCCTCCTTGTGGGAAGGCAGCATCACTGTCATGCTGGTTGTCCGAGGGAAACATCTTACTGCTGTCACACCTCTCTACAGTCAGCAGTACGACTTCGCCCTCAGACCTTGAGTTGCTGCTTTTAGTCTTACCGTTCACCAATCGACCTGCCTGGCATGGTAGAACCTACAGGAACATATGTTCCAGCCAATATAGCTCGGTTGGGTCATCACGATAGGCAAGCCCGACCACCGCGTCAAGGTAGCAGCTTCGGTCGGGTTTATTTATGGTGGTTTGTAATGTACGAAAATCTCGGCACGATAGTAGAATATACATCCGATGCTTGTTAACCTACGCTACCTGTAACTCAAGTAAGGTCTTTAACTCCACATCATCGCGAAACTACTTGCATTTTCTGGTTGTAAAATACGCCCCACAAAGACAGTATACGCACAGGTTTTTAGGATTTGACCACAAGTCTTCAAACAAGTGGTTACGTATATTATGACTGGAGTCTAACCAGTGCGTAGAGTTATAGGTAAAGATGAAAAATCTTTTAATCAAGATGTAGATCATTGACTACAGTATTTGGGAAGTCATAACAGATATCTAACCACTACCTACTCTAGGACACTTCATTGTACATTTCAGGGTGTTGGTCCGCAAACACCTTGGTAAGGCCAATGGTAGGAAGAGTCCGATCTCCCTCTCGAAATGCTCTCAAGTGGCCACATGCATACAACCACGGCCAACGAAGTCCTATTCACTGCCTTCTCGTGACGGAGGCGTTCTTTACGAAATTGGTAGGACGAAATGAAAATGTCCGGTGCTTTAACCGGATTGGTGGGTACGGAGCATTCACCTAGGGAAGTTGGAAAACCCTGGTACAAAACCAACGGTGCACATAAGCTCCGGATCCTAAGGGGATAAATGGCGTATGAACCTATTGTTAGCCACCAGCCACAATAGGACTGTATCGTTGCCCCACTGCGTTGTGGGTCAGACCCTTGGGTGGAAGGCTCTGAGCACACGAGCAGTATTACAGCCCACACACAAATCATGTGACTTATGTGAAGCATATGTATCCGGTGCCCCTTTTGTAGCAATATTTGTGTTTAAATAATTAACAGGATTAATTAATGTTAACCAGTAACCGGGTATAGTCATATAATTTGCTTTGAGCCACACTTTTTACACAAGTGATAGTACGTCGTTCTGACTAAATAATCCTGAGTAGGTGGAGTATGATTTAAATACACATTTTGTTGTGTTCGGGTTGACATAAGCACTCATCCACACTTCCTCTAGGTTAACATAGGCAAATATTCTACAATCGTTAGAAGTAACCAAACTAATTCACGAACTTTCTTCATGATGTCACTTCGAAATTGTGGCACAAATTACTTTTCTGGTTTGTAATAGCGACATGAACTTATTCATTCTCGTAAATATTGCGTATAGTTTTATTTGCGCTCCAAGCGAGACTATAATTTATGGATGAAATAATCAGATTTATGACGTCTTTAAATTTTAGCGCGAAATCAATCCACCCACTTGGCTACTGTCAAACCTGCGGAAAATAAGGTTTAAAGGTTAACTTTGAAAGTACGGCTGAAAAAAGCGTTTTCCCATGCGTAGAATATGACTTTTGGTTGTGGGTCAGCCACGTTTGAAGCATTTTCTAATAGCGTTTGTGGTATATCGTTTAGACGTGAGTAAATACTTGTAATGGCACCTTATTAAAATCATACGTATAACACGAGCAATGATCCAAAAAGGAACTCAAGTGTTTTACAACTGAAATTGGGTTTGATGTCTGTTTCATGCCAACAAGAAGAACCGAATAGATTAGATATTTACTAGTTAAATAAAAATCAACTAGAAATCTCACAAATCAAGAATTCAAAGGCTTACTTAAAGGTGGTTGGCAATAATGATTTTTTCAATGCGTTCAAGGCTAGTTAAAATGGGACCTGAAGCGATGTGAGGCACTACACAACATCGTGTAAAAGCTACTTCAAATTCAAGTCAAGGTCATCCAATACACAATATCTTTGCGACTGGCTAGTCCAAATGTTCCTGAACGGATTAGAAGGAGTTTTCGCATAACGGGCTCCCATATTTAGCAGCAGTGAATCATTGCTACCCTTAGGCGGGAGCCTCGGTATATTATCGGCTAAAGAAGAAAAAGTAAAAAGTTAATAAACCATGGCAAGAAGTCGCTTGAACTAGCTCGGCCGGCAGCGAATTCTAGCATTTGATTGCTATTAGGGAGTGGAAGTTGTGTCAACAGTCCGTTAGGCTGTATTGTGTCTCCAGGTTCTATGTGTTACCTCTAGGTTAGTGTTGGGACTAAGCTAACGTAAGTGTTTAAGGGGATATCCGGAAGTATTTAGGATTCTGTAAGCCATCAGATCACCTCTGAGACGCCTGAAATCTGATGAGCAAGAATTCAGTTATTGGAGGTGCTCTTCATGAGGTTTGAATTTGAGTCCCCGGACTGATTTCTTGGCTCGTCGTTGGATACGTTCCAGAATGTCCTTATCATTTTGGAGTGAAGAAGGAAATACTATGTTCCCGTACTCCAAATAGGGACGAATGGAACTGTTGAAGATTATGTGGGAAGTTCATCCGTCAAACTGGACAAAATCTGCTCCAACGATATTAGTACAAGGTTTGCTCGAAAGGCATTTTTCTCGCAGTTGTTGTAAGACTACAGATCATGGGGTACCATTGCTTCCAGATCTTTTTCAACTTCAGATATCTTTAGAGGATAATTACCTTGATTGTATGTGTAGTTTGCAACATGTCTCAGGTGGACTGCTTTACACTTTGAAGTGTTAAAGGTAAGTCCGTTGTCATCTGCGCAACTCTGAAGTCCAGTCAGATCCTCTTGAAGTGCCTGTATATCCTCTTAGTTGCGTATCTTTTTCCAAAGTTTAATATCATCAGCAAAACGTAATAAACCTGACGACACCTGTTGTAGAAGATGGTCTATATAAGTCGAGAAAACACGAGGTCCTACTACTGAACACTGGGGACCCCACTAGGACATTCCATATTTTAGATATAAACTTAGCCAATCAATTAAAGGTAATACGATACCTAATCGTTTGAGCTTATTGATAAGACATATATAGTTCACCCTATCATAAGCTTTTGAGAAGTCAATGTAAATGATGTCAAACTTCCCCTTGCGATCACGATTGGTTGTCCATCTGTCTACCGCAGTCAGCAGGTTGGTTATACAAGAATGACCCTTCCTGAAACCATGCTGTTGTGGTTACAAAAAGTTAAAGGATAATAAATAGTCGTGCAGACCATCGCATATCAGGGACTCCATCGTTTTTGAGGGCATAAGGAGAAAAGCCGCCGGTCGGTAGCTCAATGGTTTGCTACGTCGACCTCCTTTGAAAGTTGGTGTGATATGAGCCAGCTTCCAAATTTCCGGCAGTGTGCCTCGGCTTAGCAAGTGTGAGAACATCACGCTAAATGGTGTTGCCATGATTGAAGCTGCTTCCCTCAGTGTAGCAGAATAAACCATATCCGGACCGGGAGAACTGTCTTTTCTTAGGTGCTGCAGATTCCGGTCAGCGCTCACGTTCACTTCAGAAAGACCTGTACAGTTGCAACTGAAGCTAAGCAAACGGAGAGCGCGGATCTCGACAACTCTAGGTTGCTTGCGGATTTCGGGGACCGTTAGCGAAACAGACTGCTTTGTAGCACATAGTACCGCATGGGCACAGGCATTGGGGTAAGCCAGGGGTTTTCGCACACATGTTACACATTGTCGTGGATTGTTTGTGTCGTTATTTATCGGCTTTAACAGCCTTTTTCTATCACACGTCAATTTTAGTAACGTTTGTGCTTGTTACATAGTTTTTATTCCAGTTTATTAGCAGTTTGACGTATTTGTTGTTGAGCTTTAAAACCTATTGCATCTGGTTCACCTCCTTGATTATGGTCGTGATGAACATGGATGTTGGTAGTTGTTTATAAAATGTAGGTTGAAGCAATTAGGCGTTAAACTATTTATGAATATTGTATAACTTGCTAATATTTAGCCATAAACAGTTACATCCATTATAAGTATCATCGTTTTGTACTGAAGTGACATATTATTATGTAACGTATCTGAGATGAATTATGTGAGTAACAATTGACGTTGGTAGTCTTCCATCCGCTTTCTGAACATATACAGTAACAGTGTATAACACCACTGGAAGTGCCACATTAAGTAGTCACAAAGTCTTCATAAGTAAAACGTTACGTGTTTCTTTTGAACATGGTGACAGAACCATGTCGTAGTTATTACTGATTTTTGATGTGTCTGTTGTAAGGTTCACGGACAATTTCTGTAAACAGAATCCGCAATTACTGACCGAATTATGAACAAAGTTATAATGCATATTGTCGAGTAATATTTAAATGGTGCTTACCAATTTTTTTGTTAATACCAAATGTCTAGGTGAAATACTAGAAGATTTAGAAAATGAGGAGCTCTGTTTACATGAAATAAGAAACCTGTAGGCTATTTGTAACCTGCTTGTGAAGTCATAAATATACTGAACTCAGAGTTTTAAGGCAATACGAGCTGTGAAACCATTAACACCTCATTTACATCACAAACTTGGTACAAACAAATGTCATAAAACTGTGAACGCTTCACAGTTTTATGATGGGGATTTGAAGCTCCCAGTTCTTGATACGACACAACCCTAGAATCAAATAACAACTATTAATGAATTAATTCTTGAAATCCTACTCCATTACAGACTGACTCGGAATAAGTCCAAAGTAATTCATGCAAAACACGTGACGAAAAGTGAACGAGCAATCGAAGCTAAATCACAATTTTATAGCACTCATATCTCCTGTGTGCCACATTAATTAGTCACATATTCCTCATAATTCGGACGATGTCTGTATGTTGTGATGATAGTAACTACAGCAATTTGTAAATGACACTAATTTGTGATGCGTCTGTTCTAAAGATTACCAATGAATTTCTATTAACGAAATCCCAAATCTCTAATGAATAGCACTGTTTGCAAATAAGAGATTTATAGGTACATTCCGTTACCTGCTATTTGATTAACTTATTGAATGTGATACTGATAACAAAGTTTAATTGTTCGTCTCAAAACTGATTGGTTGTTTTTCAGAATAGTATGAAGCTTATGGAATTAATGACTATGGAAGATCGTGTGGAAAACCGGTTAACAGGTTTACTATAACTGTTTTATATTACTTACTGCCATGTTCATTCATCTAATGAATTATTTAAATAAAAATATACCAACCATACCCAGTGTTTTACGTTATAAATCCTGTAATTATGTATAATTATAGTCTAAATAAAGTCGAAACAAATATTGATGCAGAATAATGTGACTGCATTATATTTCTTGGTTTCTCACAAGCTGCATACAACCAAATATGTGTTATAATTTAAGATTGAGATAGGAAATAGTATGAAACAATTGACACAATAGAAAGCAAAAAATTGGGACGACCTAGGTTATTAATAATAACTATATATATATTTTTCAAAGGTTATTTGGTGTTAGACTTAAGGAAATGATAAGGATGGGTGGTGTAATAGTCTGGTGGAGTTCAGAAGCAGATAAGATAAATTGTGTGATATTTCTAGAGGTAATGAATAAATCACTGAATTAAAAACAATTGGATACGATTTAAAGAGTTCACATAATTTAAGAGGACAAATTTAGCCAATAAGTGTGAGTGGAAGGGTGACTTAAGGATTACGTAACCTATGTTATCAGGGAACTAACTGCATGAAATTGTCTTGTCCGGTACTAATACTAACTTGATAATAGACGTAATCCGACAACGAAAAATATGTCAGGCGGTTGCTTAATTTGTAAGGTTTTATGTGTAAGTCTCATTACCATTCTAAGAGACTCATTGATTCGTCACAATTAACAGTGATATAACGCTAAGTCCTAACGACACTTCAAAACTAATGCTGTAGTACAAGTTCTTAATTCTCACACACAATTATTCGTTAAGACTATCGGTATACCTCCCCATGAAAGTGTGAGGAAGACGAAAATAAAATTGGGAAAAAGTTTATTGATTTGTCATGACTACTAAAGTAGAAAGATAAGTTTACAAGTTGTATATATAGTGAAGCCAAAAATGAAGCCACAAAGAACTTTTTATCGTGAACGTGCTGTCTAGTTGTCGATAATTCTTTAGTAAAATTTATAGACTTTTCTCACCACCTGTTTTGCGAATTGTTCACCATATTTTCCAATACTTTGTTGTTTGCACATTCTTTGGAGCCGTTGAATTTTTGTATATTCTTCACTCCGTCTCGGTAATAACATTGTTGTGGTGTTTTATAAGGTGTGCGTATTGTCTAACTTCCATCTACAACAATGCCTAGGAATTTGATGAGCTATATAGTTTATATTTCGTAAGTGATTAAGCTTACCTGTAAGATTTCGTCTTTTAACGTATGCCAGTAGCAGATGACGGCAAGGATATCGACACGTAAGAAATATTCTACAATTGCACTTACAAGTGCTTTGATCCACTTCATAATGCATTCTACATGCTCCCTAACTTCACCGTTTTGTCGCAGCATATGCATTACCTGCTTTCGAGTACAACCTGAAATATATTTCTATACACTTAACAGTGGAGAGTTTAGCTTTCATAGCACTGACATCAGCAGCGGTAACCTGCTCATCAGTTCCCTCCTTAATACTTTCTACAACTTCTGTTGACTGAGAGTGCAATATTACTGGCTTCAAGTTTTCTTTTTTGGATGACAATCTTCTACTCCACGGATCACAAACCATCCATGAATTACTACAAGGATGGTTTTGAGACATGTTGTAAGATTTTACGACGTATTCTTGACCTTCCAATCTTATGGGAAACCTAGATTGGCCGTTTAGAAACTTTGACCTTAAATGTCACAGATAAGTTAAAGTCCTCGCGGTTATTTATTCACTGTCAGATCTGCTGACT